CCACTAAATCCATTAAGGAATCCAAACCAAAAGTAAGGAGTAATGAAAACCTAATTCTTAAAAAATATGTATAAAATTGTTAATGCATTTCTTCTTGAACATTCAACTCCATAATAAAACATTAATCTTTTAAGATGTTTGAATTCTGAAATTGCAAAATCAGCAGCTCTTGCAGCTTAAGTTCCTTCAACTCCTTAAATTCCAACACCAACATGTGCCTTAAATTAAATGATTATTATTTACTTCATTAATCATAGAAACATCATTAGCTCCATCTCCAATAGCCAAAGTATAAGCTTTTGGGAGATTCTCTTTTACTAAAGTTACAACTTATTACTTTTATTTTGGAGATACTCTAGCAACAATAACTACTTTAGCATAGAAAGCTCTTTTTAATAACATTGATTTAAGTTGTGGATTATCTAACATTACTGTTAATGCTTATCCACTAATTATCAAGGCAATATTAGCTGATTCATTACAATATTGTAAAAATACTTCCTCAATACTTCCAACTGTAATTTAAGTAACAACTTATAACATATCCTTGCTATCAATTAGATTACAAGAATATCCTATTGAAATAGCAGTTTCAACTTTATCACCTGTAAGAACCCAAACTTTGATATCAGCAATCTTTAAATCTTAAATAGTTTATCCAACATCATCAGCTAATAAGTCTTCAACAGCTGTAATTCCTAGAAATTCTAAATTTTATTCTAATTTTTTTTATAATTTATTCATCATTTCTTCATCTTTATCCTCTTAAGCCTTTTTATATCTATATAATTAATATTGAATCATACTCTGTCAAATAAATTTCCATTTAACTTTAACTAAAAGTCTTTCTACCTAACATTAATGTTCTGTATCCTTATATTGCAAATTGATGAATGATTTGTTAATGTTAACATTCTCCTATTAATTCAAGTAAAACTTCATCAGCACCTTTACAAAATAAAACATATTCATTTCCTGTTTTGACTACTATTGTCATTCTCTTTTTATCACTACTAAAATCAAAATTCATAACTCTATGAAATTAGGTTTTGTTAATTGTAAGATGATTATTATTATCGATGCCTTAAAATAAATAACCTTTTTATTCACAATATTCTAATATTGCTAATTCATCAGGAGAAGATCCTATCAATTTATTTTTTGATTTTACAACAGAATGACATAAACTCAAACATAATAAAGCTTCTTTTTCATTTTATGCAAATAGTTCTCTAAATTACATAGAATTTTTAGTTAATGTACCTGTTTTATCAGTAAAAACAATATTGATTTCTCCTAATTATTCAATTAAATTAGATTAATGTGATTTTGAATTTGGCATTACTTTATCTGATTCTAACATTTTAGCTTAACCAAATTTAACTAATTCTACATTTACAACTAAAGATATTGGTATAAAATATGAAAGTAATGAAAACCATAATCCAAGATCTATAAATACATTATCTTTAGTAAGTCCTAAATATGAATAATTAAGATGATTGTTTGTCCATATGAATTCATAAATAGATGACATTAAACAAAATAATGCCAAACTTATTGATATAGATATGATACAAATTCTCATATATTATTCTAATCTACTTCTCTTTGTTCTTTCTTAAGAACAATTCAACATAATTTTACAATTCATACCACTATAAATACATAAACCTATTATCCATTCTGTATTTTTTAGAATGCATCCTCTTTCAATAAAATTACCATAATTTAATGAATCCACTTAAGAATTATTAATTTGATATGTTCCTGTTAATTTATATAATATTGGATTCTTTTAATCATATACAAACTTAACATTATTATTTTTATCCTTCTGATTAATTACTATATAAATACAAAATTGATAGCATTATCGATATGGTATCTTTATTATAAATCGTAGATTGAATATTTTTATTTTAAATTTGTCTCACCATCAATTTACTTTGTTTCTACATATGCTATACCTCCTTAATAATTAGATGATAATATTAAAATATCACATGGAATACTTTCATTTTCCATAACTAAAATAATATCTGCTTAATAGATATCCTTCCAATTACATTCTATAAATTAATTTTCATAGTATTTATGTGATTTACGATTATTCTCTTCTTAATCAGATTTATATCTATTTTAATAAAAGTTCTTACCTAGAATATTCTTCAATAGCATCTTTCAATATACTTATACTCATCATCATTGCTAAAGGTCCATAAATAGTTGGTACACCATTTGTATAAGAAGTGGCAGGAATTATCTATAATATGCCAATAACAATGAAATAAATATTAGCAGGTTACGTAATTTATTTAATAAAAGCATATGGAAGAAAAGTGAACCATGAAGTTTTCATTGTTGTAATTGTATTTGGTTTATTCTTCATTGGAGTATCATCTGGTAAGATAATCTTTTCTGTCTATGAAATCTATTCATTTATTTAGAAGTAATTATTCATTCAATGAAATAATAATTTTCTACAAAATATATTATATATGTTTATTATTGTTAATTCATAAAATACTAATATTCAGAAAATAACTTTTTTAATATAAATAATTTATTAAAATTTAATTGTCAATCTTAATTTCTGTTATTATTATTATCATCATCAATAACTCCATCAACTATACCAGAATCTTTTGATAAAATCTCATTCCTTATAGATTCATCAATTTTTATATTAACACTAGAAGGATCAAATTATTATTATTCTTATCCATCCTATTAATTTACTGTTTCATTATTATCCTACTCTTATTCATTTTCAATTTAATCTACTTTATTTGTATTTTCTATCTCATTCTATTGTTCTTTATTATTTTATTCATTTTGAATATTTTCTTAATTTTTATTTGATATAGTATTATTTGCTGTTTAAATATTTTCTATTATTTTCTGGATTACTGGTATTTATTTAGGATTATACATATGAATCTTATGTTTAAGAGATTCTTATAATTTTGTTCTTTTTAATTATTAGAATTAGTCCATATCTAATGTGAATTGATGAAGTTTTTTTATATCTTCCACAACTTCAGATGGTATCACAGTAAGATGTTTTAATTCTAAAATATGGAAGTTATATTCTGATCCTAAAAATAGAAATTTAGCTTCAAAATGTATTGGTTTACCCTTTTCTAATTTTTAAAATGTTTCAATTTAATATTAAGAGTCCCTTACACCAATTATAATATCAGGTAAATCATCTGTTGATTCTGTAGGATCCATCTTTAAATATACCCAATAATTAAAATGAAAATTTGAATCATGATTAGGTTTAGTTTGTATATAATCACTAAAATTAATTTTATTTAATAATACCCTTTCCATGAAACTATTTTATTTTTAAAATGAGTTTCAAATTAATGTCTTGCTTTCAAACCATTATCAACAAATTAAAATTTCCCACAAAATTATAAAAAATCAACCCATGATTTATTTGCATATACATTTGCTTCAATTTATGGTTGCTCTTTCTCTATAAAATATTCAAAATAAAAAAACAAGCAAATAATAATTGTCAATAAAATTAAAGCATATTTTCTAGATACTACTACAATACAATTTCCAAATCTAAATTATAATACTTAATCATTAATATTTGGTAATTAAAAGTATTTTCTTTTTTCTAATTCCTAATTACAATAATAACATCTCTTAATAATCATCTTAACATTTATTTATTTTATATACTTTTGTTGATTAAAACACTAATGGGATTATAAATATGCACCAAATTCCAAAATAAAATAAAGAAATAAAGGAAATTATAAATGAAGCTGGAGATGGCACTTATTCTAAAATACTTTCCCTTGCAGCACCACAATTAGGACAAACAGGTTGTGTTGAATTAACTGCTGTCTCAGATTGCTCTTCATTCTCAGTCTTAGAAATTAACATAATTAATTATATTATTGATAAAATTCCATCATTTTTTTTTAATATTATACTTAAATTAACTTCCATGTATTCATCCTATTAATATTTATAATATTTATTATGATATTCTCTAAAAATTTATCATAAAAAAGGTTGTCTAAGATCTTGATTAAGAGCTATGTCTTTAGATTATTCTAATCTTTTTTTTTACAACATATTCTTAACCTTCTTCAATGTATTCATTACCATATTCTAATTCAATAATAAAATCTTTAAACCTAAGGCTCCTAATAACTTTTCGTAAATCTCAAATATGTTACAAATTATAAAAATTACTAATTAAATTGGAAATGCCAATATCAATTCAGCTATTCAAATATTATCTCAATTTAATTTTTATTTCAGATATTATGATTAAGTATAGTACAATTTATCAATTAAATTACTGAAACAACGGATTCTTACAGGTTTTATTGCAAATAATAATTTATTTTCTTTAATAATCACAATTTATAACATCTTCTATAAATAATTTCTGTTTAGCTAATATTCTAATTTTCTTTGAATTTCCAATTCTGCAAATTCTTTTAAGAAATATCTATTTTTTAAAATTAACTAAAATATTAGAGTAGAAATTATTATATGCTATGGAACTCTTTTAAAAATAAAATAACTCATACAATCAAATTTTATAATTAATTGAATCATCTTTAAACAATAATTTATATAAACTAAAAGACAAAAGCCTTATTTTAAGAGCAAAATTAAATTGTTAAAACGTTTAGTAACTTACTTCTTATATAAAATTATAAATTTAATTAGCTAAGTTTTATATTTTAAAATAAAATTATCCTCTTGATATATTGAAAATTAATGCTTATATCCAAAAAACTGAATGCTCTTCAACTAAATACAAGTCTCTCAAAATATGGTAAAACTATCTCATTAATATTCTAATTAATAAATATTTCAAAATATTTAAATAGCTAATATTATATCCTAAAATTCTTGCTAGTTTATTTTAAAGCAATATGATGAAATCAAAATAATTTAAACTATCATGTTTTGAAAATTGAAATATAAATAAATTTTGAAAGAAAAATCCTAAGTAATCAATATTCCTTATCCCAATTAGGATCACGAGCCTTTTCAGGTTTGTAAACATTTTAGGCTGTGTCAAGATCATTCTAGTCTATTAATTACACTATACTTTAATTTTTTCGGTAATCAATTTACCAACTTAGATAGCTTTTTAAGCATCTTTATCACTATGTAATTTATTTTTAGGCGGCAAATAAGGAGGTTTTAATTCTCTATTAATGAGAAGATCCTCAATTTTAAATATTGGAATTTACATAATCAAATCTTTCAAAAAAAGGGTTATTTTTCAAACTAGCATAAGATGATCCTAATCTAAGTTCTGGTGTTTTACTAAGCAATTACTCTATCAATTTCTTTGCTTTTCTATCCTTCAATACTGATGGAAATGTTAACTATTTCTATTAAATTTCCTCATATATTTCATATCTAATAGATATTTCATAAACAAATTTACGGGTCGTTTGCATCTCAGCATATGGAACATTTCCACACATAAACTCATACAGACAAACTCCCCTAATATATATTCCAAGAAGTAAATATAAATACTGTCTTTGAAACTTCTAGCAAAATGCACTATTAATGGAAAATTAACATTTTCTAAGGCTAATTTTTTCTTAAGCCAAATGCTTTTCAAGATTTTATTCAATAATTTAAGCTTTTGATATACATTTCAAAGCATATATCTTTTTATCCATTTTATTATGGACCAAATAAACATTTCCAAATTATCCTAAACCCAATTTCTTTACATAAATCAATTAATCCAACTAAAAATGCTTAAAAACATCTTATTTTTGACCTTCCTCTTTTTTTATAAATCTATCATGGGCTTTTTTCATTCTTAGCAAATATTTATTCTAAAGATCCTCCAATAATCTCAAAAAACTATTTAAATGTAATTATTGCAATCATTCTTTCATCTTTCATTATAACTGTATCTCCTAACTTAACATTTTCTCCTTAATCTAAAAATTTATCTCCAAACATTTATCCCTTTTCTAATATTTCTTTTCCATATTTTATAGACCCTTACAATATAATAATTATCTCTCTACAAGCTTATCCTTTCTCTATGATTATTTCTTCACTCTTCTTTTATTTTTATTACATATTACTGACTATTATTTCTACTTACAACTTTGTCAATTTACTAAGTACAACTTGTCTCTCAAATGCCCATCTCTAAAGATTACTATACATAATCAACTGTATCTTATCTCCTAATATTCTAGTTAAATCATCCCTTGCTAAAGCTAAAACTGTCACATCTTCTTTAATAGCCTTAGCTGTAGCTCCTCTAACAGAATTTTAATATAAAGCTTATTCTCCTAAAGATTCACCTTCTTTCATTACTCTTGTTTCCTTTCCTCCTCTAGATATTTAAATTTCTCCTTTTTTCATAATAAAGAATGAATCAGCCTGATCTCCTTCATTAACTATTATCTTTCCAGCTTTAAAATTTAAATTTATTAAGGCTGATGGTATTGCTGCTTTTTAATCATCAGTTAATGATTCTATTTTTATAATTTTAAATTTTTTACCAAAAAATGAATTCCTTATTTTAATCATAATCTTTTTATGAAATTAATTCTATCGCTTTTCTTACAGTATTTCTATCAATTGCCCAAAATGCACAATCTGAAAAATATATATATTATTACCTCCTACTGCCTTAGCTGAAGCAGATCTTGGTGCAATAAAACATTTTATCAATTACTTTCACTCTTATCTACTAAAAATATTTTTATACTTGTCCTCTGGTTGTAATTATCCAAAAATAAAACTATTTCCAAAAGCATTCAAAAGCAATCAATAATCAAATGGACTTTTATTTTTTCTTATTTTTGAACATTTTCATAGATGACTTCTTGATCAATAACTGCAGCTATTTTTCCCATCTTCTTTTGCTCTTTTCTTTTTGGCTAAGTTACATAGAATTTTCATCATTACTTCATTCTCTTATTTTGCTTAATCAATTGATTAACCTGGTTCTTCTTATTTTTCAGGTACTTGAGTTTTAACTTCTTCAGGCTTTTTAGGCTGCATCTATTAAATAGGAGGAGGTTAAGATAAAGTAACCTCTAAACCGTTTTTATCATTAATTGGACTTTACTTACAAATAATACCCATTAATGATTGTATTTATTTATTTATTAATAAAATAAATATATTATATTCAATTTATCTAATGTTTTGATTTATCTCTTTTATTTTAACTCAAATTTCCCAGCCTAACTAATGCATTAGATTTTCCATTTCCTATACTATTCAAGTTTTAATTAAGATATTTAGATATATTAATTAAGGTAATCTTTTCAAAAAAATTTTTTCTGAATATCAAAATTAAATAATTTGAATAAAACAATTTAAAAGAAAATAGGAAAAAACTTTTTGGAATAAGTTTTAAGAATGAAATAAGAAATATTTATTTTATTTAGGAATCTTTTTCTTCCATCAAAGAATAAGTTAAATAATAAATTTATTATATTAAGGATATAAATTATTCTCAAAATTTTTTTTATAAATTCATCATATCTTCTATTTTTTATTAAAATTGAAGATTTCTAATTTTTTTATCATAATAAGTATTTTTCCTATCTAATTTTCCTATTGAAATACTTACTATAATTTAATATCCTTGCATTTGATAAAATCTCTGAATTTATAAAAATAATTCTCTTTAAGCTCAGCATTTGTATCAATTACTGAGTTGTAAGGCAATAGTTTTTAAGATCTTTTACATTAAACTAAAAAAGCATAGAGAATTAAATATCCCCACTGTTATTGATAACTTTAGATTAGACATACTATTTTACTCTCTTTAAATTCTAGATATATTAGAAGTATAAATTTTTTATATTATACAAAATATCAAAAAACTTTAACTAAACTTCTCAGTTTTATTTGAATTGTCATTTTCTTTCTTAAGATGACCCAAGAACAACAAAGCATTTATTTATATTTGCTTTAATTATTTTATCAAATTTGAATAACATAACAAATTGTTCTAATTTATATTGTTAGATTCGAATGTTTAAAAATTAGGAAATGCATCAAATTTATCATTTTTAATAGTTTTTGCAACAATATCATAAATAAATAACATACATATATTAATCATTAACAAGTTTTTAAAAGTTTTAAGTGTTCATCCCTTATTTTAATAAACTTATCATTAAATGAATTAAGCATATTTGTTAAATGTTTTATTTATTCATTCTGTTATGCAATATGTATAGAAGATTAATTATCTTAAACTAATATAGTCTTAGACTCTAATTATTTGATTTTAACTTCAGATCTTTCATTAATTTATTTCCAAGCCTTAATTTATTATTCTTAATTTTGTAGTTTTTCTTTTAACATATCTATTTCCTTTTTATAATTTTCTTCTTAAATTAACATACTCATATGTAATGCATAATATTAATCATTATTTTAATTTAAATCTTAAGCAAGGTTTATTTGATCATTAGTATTCATCCGAGAATCTTGTCTTAAATCAGTAATATCAAAAGAATTCAATCTAGATTCTCTTCTTGAAGCTTCTCTAATTTTTTCATTCAAAGAAACTTCTTTTTAATGAAATTCATTATTAATATCAGCAATTTTTTATTAAAGTGATTGAATTTCTGCTTCTAATGATAAAGTTCTTTTTTTTTCACTTTAAAAGGAATTAAAGATTTCCTAAAAAGAGGTTTATAATTTATTTATTTATCTATCTTTATCTTCTATAAGTTTAGTATAACATAGTTTTTATTATGATAATTTTTCTTTAGTTTATTCATATTTTTATTCTTATTTTATATATTACATGATTTTAAGTTTTAATTATTCATTCTCTAATCGTGTATTATCTTTTAATAAATTAGCCTCCTTTATTTAACTTATCTATTACTAAACCTTAATTTCTAATTCTCTAGTTTTTTATTAGGTTGACCATAATTATTTATTTAATTCTTCTAATTCTTTAATTTTCTCTTCATTAAAAGAAGATTTTCTCTCTAAATTGCAAATAAATGTACGTTTTACCATGAGATTCCAACATAACTAATTATTCAGTCTTTTCTTTATTCTCCTAATCCAACTTTTTGATTGACATCTTTTATTCTATAATTTCATTCATTAGAACTTAGTTTTAATGGATTAATTTTTAATTTTCTGTTTCTAATTCATCTATTTTATCCAATAAACTTTTATCCTCAGATTATGAAAATGGTTCAACTAAAGTCTATAAAAATTAGGAAATTAATTCTTGTTTTTATTCTGGTAATTATAAGACCGCTACAAAAAAATCATCTTAGAAATCACTCTATAAAATTAGCTACCAACATAGAAATAATAAAAACTTAACAAATTATTCCAAATAGTTTTAAAATTTAAGTCTCATTTTTATCTTTTGCTATTTCCATAACATTTAAATCTAATTATTTGTGTGTATAATCTGTTAATTTATCAACTATTAATTTCAATCTTGACATATTCAGAGCCCAATTATCTATATATGATTAATTTTCTAAGACCTAAATTACTTTTATTTAAATTATACATGAAATATAGATCCAAAGTGATCAGTGTTAATATGATTTAAAATTTGAATAAATAATGTACCATCAACATATTCTTTAAAATTTGTATGATATTTTAAAAAGGTGATTTTATTCATCCAATCTACTATCGCTGACAAAAGTTCTTAATTTTACATTTTTTTTAATTAAAAATAAATTAAATTTAATATAAAGTGATTCTTTACATTTGCAATATATTTATCACCTACTCAAAAATGAAAGTATTTATTAGATCTTAAGAATATATTAATGACCAAATAACAATATGTTCCACATACAATTATTAATTTGAATGAAATAATCCATACATCTATTTCTATGGAAATTGATGGTAATAATTACAATAGTAATTACCTTAACATTTATAATCAAATTTCTCAGCTATTTTAATTGTTTCTAAAAAAAAATAACAACAAAATGATTTCAACCAAATAGATGATTATATGAGACGTAAAAAAGATATTAAAATTTATTTGTTGAATAGAAATTTAAAGCTTATAATTCTATATCTGAATATTTAAATATACTCTTTGTTTAAATTTGAGAATTGATGATCGAATATTAACTAATTTTATTAACTCTAAGTTATTTTAATAAAATTTAAGTCAACACCATAAAATTTTAACAAGGTTAGATATTATTGTAAAATTCTTAGATGAGAATATAAATAGATATTATAAAAAAGGAATATTACTAAATATTTAAAAAAATTATTTGATAAATATATAATTTCATAAAGTATTTAGAACATTGTCGTTAGAATTTTGTATTAGATAAAGGATTTTCTATTGAAATTTAAAAAAAATAAACTCTAACATATTTAAACTGTTAGTAGATTTTGTATACTTAATTGAATGTTATTTTCAATAAGTATCATTCTAATAGAGCTGAGAAATTATCATTTATTAATTAAATTATAATCAATAATTAGAGCATCACAGAAGGTTGGAATTATAATATATTTATAGATTTAACATAAATAAAACTAATATTAATTGATAAATTGAGACAATAAAGTTTTCAAAAAAATATTAAGTTTCAATAAAATAGTTTTTAGTGTTCTAAATCAGACAACTAATTTGATTAGAGAAATGATATTAAAATCAAAGATTAAAATATTTTACATTACATGATTTTTAAGATATTTTTGAACAGTTTAATAAATCTAATTGACTGAAATTTTATATATATAAAAATATTATTAATGAATACTTAGGATGAAATACTATTGTTAAAGAAGTGCATTTGTGAATTTTTAAATAAATTACTTCCCACAATTAAGGATCCATTAATTTTAACTAGATAGAGACTTAGCTAATTCAAAACTGTTCTATTAGACGAATTAAAAACCATATAGGATGTGTATTTCTATGTCCAAACACTCTAATTTCAAGAAGGGTTAATCCTAAGGACTGATCAAAAGATTGAACATTACAGAAATCCTTCAGGAACTAATTTAGACATTTTGAATCTAAATTCAAACCCAACTATATCAGAAAAGAGAGTAATTCCTAATTCATTAGGTCTAAATAGAGGAACAGATTCTTTATAAACAAATGTTGGAAACTATACGAATTTGAAGATTGAGAATACAATTACAACTTGTTAGCAAAATCCAAATGTTGAAGATTAATTAGATAAGGAGATTCCAAAATTGGGCAAGGATATCTTTTTTAAAAGACCTTCAACAAGGAAGTTATCTATTAAGACTAAAGATACTAAAGCTTAAGAAAATAATTATAAACCAATTGATGAAATTTAAAAATTAAATGTTTATGGATAAAGAGTAGATACTTTTAGTGTACTAAATAATTATAGTAAGAAAACTTCCTTTTTTGATAAGGAGACTTTGCTCAATGAAATTAAGGAGAGTGAAAAAATAATTCGTAAGCACACAACTACTTTAAATGCTGTATATAGTAGAAGTTTTGAAATTCTAACTGGTGACAAAGAATAAAATTCAGAATAATTAAACAGTATTTAATAAAGTTTACGTGCATAATAAGATATAAGAGAATTATAAAATGCATAAAGGAATGCTACATTGAAAGGGTATTCGATTTATGCTAAGAAGGATAAAGATATTGCAAAATAGAGAATTGATGAAATTGCATAAATAAATGATAAAAAGAAACTATATTTTTGATGAATATATTTAATATATAGATTAATGAATAAATTATATCCAACAAATAAAATAAATCTTCAATATGTTGAATATCCTTAACGTTGGCTATAATTTATCTTGTTTTTTTGTGCTTTACTTTCTAATATTATGTTTGGATTTTCACTTTCCCCTATTGTTAAGGAAATATCATTAGTTTATCAAGTTGATAGTAGGTAAGAATCTTTAAATGATGAAGATATTTGTAATTTTTGACTATAAGTTTTACTGTCTTTTCTGTAATAATGAGACGGTATATAGGAATCTTGGTTATTGATTAATATTGTTGTTTTTAATATAAAAATGGATTAATTCATTTACATGTACAATTTAGGACCAATAAAATATTTAGACTAATTGTAATACCAGGAAACATTCTTAATGAAAAATATGGAATTAGAATGAGTATTATGATAGATAATGAAAGATTGGAGTATTTAAGGTTGTGCGTTAACTTTTATAGGTTCTATATTTGCCATTTTTATCAACGTTTCTTTTTGGTTTTTCTTTATTGGATTATTGATTTCTTTAATAGGATTTCCTTTTATATTGATTAGTGCTTCTAAATTTGTTGCTTATTGGTTTTTTCCTGAAAATAGAATTCTTATATTGGTAATCATTGCATTAGTTTTTAATGCAAGTTCAGGAATATCTATTAGAATTCCATTATTTTTTTTAGGAGACTTTTAGATACACGATCATCCAACAGATGATTAGATAGAATTAGGACGGGCTTTAATTGAGAGTTTGATGTTTTTGTTATTTGGGTTGATGATTTTATTATGTATACCACCAATTTTGTTTTTCCTTAGTAAGCCAATTACTCCTCCTAGTTATAGTGCTTCAGATATATATATATATTATGTCATTAGGAATGCGTTAGAGAAGATTATCACTAAGCCAGAGTTATTGTGGCTAACAATCCTGATTTCATATTGTTAATTATTAGTTTTGCATTATCTAAGGAACAATAACATTATTTACTTTGTAGATGGAATATTTTATATCACCCTTCGATTATTCTCTCAAAGATTTAAGTTATTTAGTTTTGGTGGGAGTAATTGATGGTTTGACTGGAGATATTTGTGTTGGAACTGCAATTAAGATGACATAATCTTATAAAAAAGTGTTGAGAATTTGTAATATTTAAATGACTGTACTATTTGGAATTCTCATACTAGCTCTTCATGTAAGCAAAATATTCTTCTTTATTGTTTATTTTTTATTATGTGGAAGTTCTGCCATAATGGCTTTAACTTTTGAATTCTCTTGTGAATTATGGTTTTAATGAGTGAAAACACTACAATAGCCATGTTAGGGTTCTTTGGTAAACTTCTTAATTTTTTGTAAGGAATTTCTGAATCTTAATCCTCAAGGTATCTATAGTTCTTAATGTCATTAGGGAGACAATTAATTATGTTCAACTTCGGCTATGATATTTATTTTAATTTTGATTAGTAGCTCTAATTTTTTGACTATGAAAATTAACGAAAACCTTAAAAGATTAGAATAAGATATTAAATTAGATGATAGAATTGAAAGAAAAATACTGAAGTCAGCTTATTAGATTAATAAAAATTTAATATTAACAATGATGATTATTGATTATATATATTAAATTAATATAATTTATGCTAAAGGTAATTGGCTTTTTATTATTGCTTCATTCAACCATTTCATTAATTAGATATAGAAAGCATTTAATCTATAAGGACATGGCTGATTAATATCATATACCTCTAGATGTATTAATATTTATAAATCTGATAGATATTGTTGGAGATAATTATTGGATTTGCTTTGAACTTGTTTTTTGGAGTTATTATGGATAAAAGATTTGTTAACATTCATGAATTTCCTCATAAAAAAACGTATACTTTAAATTAACAATCATAGTTATGACTAGGCATTCCAAAGACTTAATTTTAGATAACCATGTGGACGAGGAGGAGTATTATAATCAGTAGTAAGAGATAAAATTGGAAATTTTGACATAAAAAATTGATAAAATTTGTGTACATTATTACATTTGTTTTTTTAAACATATTTAATTCATCTAAAATAATATAAGGCTCTTGCTGTAAGTCCTTAAACCTTTGATTCATCTTCTGTTTAATTAAGCCAATATTCTTCAAATAATGCTCTGTCTTCTTATTTAGAAGCATCAAGTTTTCTCAATTATAAATATTCAAATGTTGGATGATCTTTCTATATAAAATTAAAATAAACTCTTACTAAATATTATGGAATTTCTGTTCCTCTCCATATCCAAGCTCCACTAATTTAAAGATCTGGAACATCTCCATAGACACCATGGATAGCAAATGCCCATTTTTTAAAATGAGGATCAGTTCTTTAAAGAAATCCATTGCAATTATTTCTAAATGAAATCAAAACTTTTCCTTCTTATTCAGCCTTAATGTATTTAATAATCCAAATTGACCATCCTTAAGAATCAAAAATATTCCAAAAGTTTTTGAATTCTGCAGCAAAATCTTTTGATGCTAAAAATTATCTTTTCCAATCATCAATGTTAAAAGTAGATTATGGTAATAAATCAAACTCACATTATTATTTTTTTGGTTTTTCTTCTTCATCTTCATCTTTGGGAGCAGCCTTTTATTATTATGGTTATTATGTATTTTATGGTTATTATTATTTTTACTATTTTTATTATTATTATTATTATTATTATTATTATTATTATTATTATTATTATTATTATTATTATTATTCATATTAAAATGGGAATGCTTTTATACAATATTTTGTTTTTCCATAATACTAAATTTATACATTTATATTTTACATTCACAAATGCTGGTATTTCTGAAATATATTTATACCATCTAGATATATTTGGTATTGTAGCTCTAAATGATTTATCAAATGCAAATGAAAATATTCTTTAGAAATAAGTTGCCAAATTTAAATCAGCAATTGTCAATAATTCACCAACTAAGAAATTATTTGCTTTAAAATGATTTTCTAATATTTTTAATTTCCAATTTAACTCTTTCTTAATTTCATCTTATTTTTAGGGTGTTGTTTATTCATAACCGAGTATTGGTAATAGTAAACCAAGTAAAGTAGGTTCCAATTCAAGTGATGTAAAATCTAACCATTGTCTTACTTTAGCTTATTGATAATCTGTTATTCCGACCAAAGGTGTCCCTCTTGCAACATATTATAATATTGCATTGCTTTCAGTTAGATATCCTTCTGGTGTCTCTAATAAAGGAATCTTACCAACAGGATTTTTAGCCAAAAAGGCAGGTGTCTAATATGAATAAAAGATATATACTTCTAAAGCTTTGAATTCTACAAAATCACTAATGATTTAGACATTTGCTAATTAAGCAGCTATTATTATTTTCCCAACTCTTGGGTTACCAAGTGTATATGTGAGTTTAAGAGACATAAAAATATCTTAATATTTTAATTTAATTTCTAAAACCTCGATGAACTTCAAAACAAATGAATTAATTCTTTTAATTTTTATTAAAAAACAAAGAAATAGAATTGATACAGTGATCAAAAGATTTCTATTTAATTGTTTAAAATTTTGAATAAGTGATATAAAATTTACTTGATATACATAAATATATTAAAGGAATAACTCATTTCTAAAATCAGGTAATAGAGAAAGTAATAACTAAAGAAAGCAGTAAATATAAAAAAAAGATAAATTGAGTTTTATTATCAAGTATAGATTTTATTAATTAAAATGTCTCTTAGTCAATTGTATGGGAAATAAACAATCAATTATGCAAGTACACTATAAAATTAATCAATTTAAGAGAACTCAGATAAATGAGATCTCCAAATGATTCATAATCATTTGGATTACGTTAAGAATATCACGATTTTACATAGTTACATCATTAACCTGCTGAAACAAAGAAGCATTAACGAGCAAAGTCAACTCTGTAGAATAATTATAGATAAGGGACTCCTATAACAGATTTAGAGGAAATAGAAGGAGAGAAATTGTTTGATTAATTTTTTAAGCTTAACAACTCCAAGAGTGATAGTGACTTTATGAGAGATTCTGTTTAAAGAGATTTAAAGCAACCTGAATCTGAATTTTTAAGGTTTGTAGAAAATGCAATAGAATATCATAAACAATCAGAATTACATTTTAGACCTACTATAAAAAAGAATTAGCATTTGGAAAAGAAAGCAAAAGAACTTGCTATTTCAAATAGATTATTGGCAAGTGAAATTAATAGATATAAATAGAAAGAGATTGAGTTAAAAAATAAGATAAAAATATTGCAAAAAGAATATTAATAAGAATTGGGTCAAATGATATAGAAGAATGAATGGTTGGAAGAATTGTTAGTGAAATAAAAAATAGATAATGAAAATTCTTTGTTAGCTGTTAAGAAATCTTTAGAAATGATGTAAGGAAGATGTATGTGTCAAAAGGGAATGGTTGATAAAATAATGAAGGAAGTTAAATAATAATCTAGACCATAATATGATCTTTAAGTGACACATTCATCATCTGAATTAAGTAGTAATACAGAGGAAGAAGACTTCAATTATGATTATATGAGAAGGAGAAAATCTTTATCAAAGGTACTAAAATAGATAAACATAGACATCAGAAGAACATTAGTTCATACTTGCAAGAAGCAAGAATTCAAAAGATTTTGCTAGAGATCTCTTTATAAGAAAGAAACATTTACAAGACCCGTATTACACATGAATATTAAATTATAATATAATGGTTTTCATCAAGAGATTAGTACCCCTATCAATTTTTTATTGTTTTGAAGGAATCATGCTAGGACTGATTTTATACAGTGTTCCTTCTAATTTGATAGATAAAGGTGTTGAGATAAATAGATATTACTTTTCATTCGTCGTGTTATTACCTTATTTGATCAGATACATAATTGCACCTTTGATTGATAGTGTAAGTTGGGATAAGATTGGAAGAAGAAGAAGTTAGTTGACAGTCTTGTATTTTGGATTGGGGTATAATGTTGTTGAAAATTCTTAGTGTTCTGTTATATTTTTCAAATTTTTAATCACTAGATCCAAGTACATGGTTTTGGAATACATTCTGGATTGTATGTTTTTTGGCTTGCATTGATTTAATAATAGCAGCTTGGTTAGTTGAAAGTTTAGACAAGCAAGATAGAGGGTATGGAGCATTGGCTCAATTTCTAGGAATTTTGATAGGAGGATTTATTGGAGCATATATTTTTAAAATGTTTAATTCACTTGAGTTTTGTAATACATATATTTATGCCATTCCTTAAGAGATACCATATATTACTCTTTAAAGTTAAAATATAGATTTATTATTAGTTGCATTCAAAGATTTATCATATATATCAGTAGGACTTGCAGTTGCATGTACAATTATAATACATAATGAAAAAACAACTAATTAAGATGTATGAATATCATTATATTAGATAATCGAAGCTTATAAATCAGCTCTTGGAGCATTTTCGAATCGCCATTTGATTGTTCTCTTTTTGTTTTTTTGTTTTTTCAGAATAGGGTAAATGCCTATTGATTTGGCTCATATTCACTTAAAGAGAGGTTAATTTACAGAAGGATAAATATAATTTCTGGAAATATTAACCTTTCCAATTGCATGTATATTACCATATTATATGGCAAAAATGATTAAAACAAGAGTTTTGGAAATAAGACTTATCATAGTATTTTCCATTTATGAAATTGGTATAATATATATATTAATTTAATTAAATTAGCCATCTCAGGAGTATTTATCATAACCTTGTTTGCTTCCGAGGAGAATTTCCCATTTCCATATAGAGATACTTTGTTAAAAATATCATTAATAAGTGTTTGGTTATTAAATTTGATTAACATAACACTTGCTCAATCATTCATTTATAAAAGCACTTAAAGTTCAATAGCAGCTACTTTTATTGCTTTATTAAGTAGAAATATTAATTAATAAATTAAGCCACTGGAATTAATTTATAATTCATTTTTGAAGGATTTGTGGAATATTTATTAGCTAATTATAATTATTATTTGATTTGGATATGTGGAGTAGGTATATATGCATTATTTTTTTTCCATTTGGCTTCAAGAGCAACTATGATTGATTAATTGAATTGCTAAGAGTTTTGTTTAGAAATTGATATCAAAAAAGAAAAGCTTCTAATTAATACTGAATTAGCAACTTTGTCATGATAATTAATTATAAATTTTGTATGTAATCATTAATTTTAAATATTTTATTGTATTATTTAACATTATAATTATATATATCATATTATTATAATAAAAAGAGATTTTACATTTTAATTATTTTATATTATTATTAACATGGATGATCGTTTAATTGAATTGTATAAAGTAAAAATATAGTAATCTAGATGTCTGGCAGATAGGATTCATTTTAATTGAACAATTCCAATTCTTCATAGGAGAATGAATTTATGCCTTAATTTACTGCTAAAATAAATAAGGCACAATAATGTTTAAAGAGAATCAAAGAAAATAATATAAGAATGTAGGATATGTCAGTGAAATATTCAAGTGCAACAACATCTTATGTTGAAAAAGGTATTTTAATTATTTGAAATCTCTTAGAGTTATCAAGAGAATTAGAATAAATTATGGTGTATAATTAACAATTTAGTAATTAATTAAAAGAAGCTTTGAAAGATATCAAAGAAGATGTTGAAAAAAGTGAAAAAGATGAGAATGTAACTAATTTTTAATTATAGGAGGATTAAACAGAAATCTAAATTAAAATCAATCAAAGAAATGCATTAACTAATAAAGTTTAAGAAGTTTTACAAGCTTCTTAATAAATTTCAATTAAATACAAGACTTGTGTGAGAGAGAAAATCAGGAGATAAACTAAAATTTTAGATCAAAATACCACAGAAGAGCTTTTAAATGAAATATGTAATGATCCACAAGTATGCTAATTTTATCAAATATACACTTAGCGAGCAACATAGTTATTGTAAGAAAAACTCTATGGAGAAGCTCCTTCTATTGGTATCACAAATGCTGTTTCAGATATCTAGGAAAAATACAAAGATATATAATAATTGGAAAAAGTATTTTTAGAAATTATTAATTAGTCAGTTTAATTAGTAAGTTAACTATTTGTTGATTTAGCAATTTTAGTTCACGCTTAAGGATAAGAAACAGATAATATCGAACTTAGTTTAGACTCAGCCAAAACTTATATTGGTAAATCAGAAAAAAACTTTATTATGGCAAAGAATGATCATAAAGCAGCTAAAAAAGTATTCATAAATTCCTTAATTTTAGAAAATATGTTGTATTATCTTAATTGGTATTATAATTTTAGCAGTAATTATCGGACCTATTGTTGCTACTTCATGAATTAAATTAAAAAATTATTTTTAGATATTCATGAAGCTTATAATTTATTTTTTTTTATTTGAAATTAATAAGTTGGTAGCTGTTAACTATATATATTTTTATAAAGTATCATGACATGAATTAGATTTCTAGCATATCAGTTTTTTAAAGAATCATAATCAAAAAAGTAAATATATAGAATAGTTATATTTAAATTTTAATATATTTTATTTTCTAGGCTTTCATATTCTTATTATTGTAAAAAATGCATATGTTAAAAATATTATAAAATAATAATTATAATATATTAGAAAGTGTTAAAAAATAAAGAAAAATTGATTATAATACTTAAATATCAATCATGTTGAAAATGGCCAGATCTTTATTGATTTATTGCCTTTTATTTATTTGAATGATTAGAATTTAAAGGTAAATCAAACGATTAATTATTATGACTAGTAATATAAACCCTATCTTTTTTGTTATTTTGTGATCTTCCTCCACTTTATAACATTCTATTTAATTATTATTGTTCTCTATTAGAATTTCGATAGGGATTCATGATGTCAATTTCTCTTTTATTCCTAGAACTTATTTTTCTGAAATCTTCCTTATTATGATAATCAATTGAGGTCACATTATTGTTCTTAAATTTGATTCCATATTTTTAACATAACATATTGGAATAAGGAACATTGTTATTTTTGATAACAGGTGATTATTCAAAATAGTTTTCATCCTTTTTTCTTGCTTATACACTTTAAGCATATCCATTATTTCCTATTCTATTCACACTTAAATCATTATCTGCCAATATTTTATTTTAATTTGTTATTCTAATAATTCTACCTCTATCTTTATCAGTTGATTATGAACGTAATTTAACTATTTCATCTTTGATCTACTATTTAATAACTTCATTATTAACTAATGAACTAATTGGAGCTATTAAATAAAAATAATAGAATTACCTTTTTGAGGTCTTTACTTAGGTTCTAATAGAGTTATATCAAAAGATTCAGAATTAAGATCAGCTGTTGATCTGCCACCATTTGTCAAATGTCTTTTAAGAAGCAAATGATACAATGTAGTTACATCATTATGTTTATTGGCATCTAAACATTTTTAAGCATGATCAATATCTATGCCATATTATTTTAACTATTTGAGTATTTCTGAATCAATTGGAATCTTATTATAACCAACAACAATGCCAGGAGGAATTTCATAATTTCTTTTATATATCTTAAACCATGGGTGATTTCTAATATCATTAATAGTAAAACGTTTGTCTGGTTTGACTGTTAAGATTCCTTAAATCATTGATTAAGCATCTTTAGAGAGATGAGATGGTAGTTGATATGATCCACTTAAAATCTTTTTGTAAAGAGCAGAAGTGTTTTAATCTTCAAATGGTAAATAACCACATAAACAAGCAAATAATATAACTCCAGAACTCCACAAATCTACTTTTACTCCTTAATATTTTTATCCTTCTATCATCTAAGTTATTAAATTAAATTTTATATACTTCTGGAGCTGCATAACAAGGACTTCCACATGCAGTCTTCAATAATTCTTCTGATTTGTAAGTGTTAGATAATCCAAAATCAACGATTTTAAGATTTTTATGATTATCAAGTAACAAATTCTCTGGCTTTAAATCTCTATGGACTACTCTTAGTTTATGTAGATACTCAATCCCAGCAATCAGTTCTTAAAATAATTTACATGCCTCCACTTCTTCCAATCTTATTAATTAAATTATATTACTTTGTTTTTTAGACAATATAATCAAATAACTCTCCACCACTAATCATTTCCATTACTAAAAATATGTGTTTTGGTGTTTCAATAATCTAGATATTATATTTCATTACTTCATATAGTTAGATTATATGGGGATGTCTAACCAATTTTAAGATATGAATCTCTCTTTGTACTCTTTCTACATCTGCAGTTTCTACTATTCTATCCTTTTCCAATATTTTTATAGCCACTTTCTCTTACGATTTTTCATGAATACCCATTTTTACCTTCCCAAATGTTCCAAATCCCAAAGTTTTACCTACCTATTACTAAAACTCAATTACCTATTACATAATTCCCAATCATTCTTGTTCGACTGCCTGGGTTATTCTGTTATTATGATTCTGTCATTTTAATAATAAAATGGTTTTATTTTTTTTGATATTTTTTAATAGAAAAGTGTACCTAATTTTATTATGCATCAAATATTATAATCAGCAATTCTAAATTGTTTCAGAAATGAATATTCAAAGATAAGATTTAGAAGCTGAAAAATGTAAATTTGATAAAATTAACTAATTCTAAACATAATTTAATTGTGAAATAATTTATTAATAAATATTCAATTGAATTATAGAGTTGTCATGATGTTGAATTGAAAATTCTAATAAATTATATTTAAGAGTTATATGTTATTTTCAAACATCTTCATATAATTTATTAAATTAAATCAAGTATAAAATATTATTATTATATATTTTATTAATATTTCTTAAATTATGTGGAAGATAAAAAAATGTTATTGCTTTATTTAAATATATAATTATTTAAATTATTAGAAATATAAAACATAATTTATTATTATTTAAGATGGATTAAACTTAATATTCAATTCACTAGATACTTTAGAATAAAAGAGATTTATTAAGAGAAACAATTAGAAATAACGATTTGGAGAAAATATTTCAATAAAAAAGAATTTAGACTTAATAGAATTAAGAATCTGAAGAAGTTTCAATCCTTTCATCTAGTAGCTCAATAAATTATCGAAAAACCTAGTCAATAATTGAAATAGAAAGTTCATCAGATGAAGCGTCTTTGATTCGATTAACTAAAATTAGAACTAAAGCTAATCTGACTCCAAACTATTTGATTTCTGTGAATGAATATCTTAAAAGAGACCCTTATATCTTTTAAGTATAAAAGATATTTACTTTATGTGAAGATGCAATTTTAGATATAAAATTAACCTCTTCAGATTTGGTGCCTTATTTAGTTGAAATAATTTATTCGGTAACAAAATACAAAACATAAATTCCTTTTTAAGTAATCATTCTATAAATATCATTTAGCCACTAACTTTACTATTATAAGCTTTTAGCCTTCATTAAGACTATATTATTTTATAGTACATTAAAATGTATTTATAAAATAACAAACAAGAAACGAATGAGATTGATTAATTTTGTAGAAAAAAATGTTTTTTTGAAGATGAGAGTTTTCTATTCATAATATGCAATAATATAAAATATGTAATAGTTATTTTAAATTTTAGGCAAACTTGTAAATGTTGCTCTTTTTATGTGAAACAATTAAAAACAATGAATTTATTTAAGCAATTAAAGTATATGGAGCAAAAATATTCAATAAAAATATTGAGCATAAAAAGGAATATAGAAAAATTATAAAAGAAATATAAATTTTGGCTGAAATCCGTTTGTCGAATAAAGAAATACTTTACCAAAACTGAGTAGATCTAAAAAATTTATTATGTTTACTTAATTTTTGTTAAAATAAATAATTCATTGTTATATATATATAATTATTATTAGTTTTTAGAATATGTATAATAAAAAGTTTCATTGATTTAATTTATATGATAGTTTGATTTCAGTAAATAATTCTCTATTTTATTATATAATGTAATAAAATTAATGCGTATAGACCTCCTCATTTGAGTTGGCATTTTAATTATAAGATCTAATCTATAGAGAAACAAAGATTAAATCTCCATCTCTCTAATACAATTTTTCCACATCTAAAAAGACTATCTCAAACTCAAAGTAAATAAAATAAATAAATTCACATCGAAGTGTTGGTGAAATAAACTCAAATATCTCATCCCCTCCTCCTAAAAAACTTTTAGGTAAACCAGTTGAAGGAAGAGCATTGCTAGCTAATTTGATGTTTCCAAGTTAAGCAAAAATGAAAGTGTCAATTATAGAATAAAATAAAGAGAAAAAAGATTAACAAACCTAAAAAAATATTCATATGGCAAGAAGACTTAGTTAATACAATTAAAATGAATCTAAATCAAGTAAATAGTTTGAATGGATCAATAAATTTAATTTACAATTGCAAAAGTGTAATTATTATGTAAACAATGAAAAATCAGTAAAATTAAAAACATAAAGAAAAAGACAGTTATCTGTATTGGATGATGTTCTACCTATTAGTTCTCGAAATCTTTTTGTAAATGGAACTTAGAGTCAATTTTCAAGTCGAGTAAAGACACCAAATAAAAAATGATTAAATTAAATATGAATACTAAAATAACTTTGCGTAATTCAAAACAAAATAGTTTTCTAAATTCAATCTAAACTACGCATAGACATACATTATCCTAAGGTATAGAACTAAAGTTGGAATCACCTACAAATAGAGAAACTTCTGGATTCACTTCTTTTTAATCTTTGAAATCTTCATCGATTAATCTGAAAAAATTAGTAAAATCTCCAACTTCTTCAATAAATTCTGCAAGATTATTTGATTTAAATGAAAACTTTCTTAATCAAAGAAATTCAATAGTATAAATGATGCAAACATTTTCAAATAATTATGAAATTATATAGTAATCAGAACCTTTAGAAAATATTGATTTATAAAAACTCTTTCCAGTAGAAGAATAAAAGAAATTATAAAATAATGAAATAGTTCCTAATGAATCAAAATTAAGAATATTTGAATTAAAATAAGAGAGCAATAATTGGATCTAAATTAATAGATTTAGATTTCATTACTTTTCAATTAAAATATAAGGTTAAGAATCACCAATATAGGTTTATGTAAAATGTGATTAATCAAGATTACTTAATTATAGAATGTATATATCTACAACTGCTTCATTTCCTACAAAATTTAATTGTGAAGCTGTTGTATAATCTAAATATTTTAAATATTAAGATAAAAAGCATAATGATAAATTTTTAGATAAATTTTTATATATAGCAATATATTCTGAAGAAGATTGTGAAATTTCAATATCATTTTTATATGGAAATCAATTTATTAAGAAATAAAAACCTAAAAGAGAAAAGCCAAACTATGATAAATATAAATATTGGTGGTAGCAATAAAAATTTGAGATGAGTTATGAAACAGATAAAATAAATAATAATCTTGACACTAGATAATATTCTAGAGAAGCAAGAAAAGAGAAATTAATATAATCATAAGATTAATTAGATTTAAGAATGAAGAATGCAATTACTAAAAAAAAAGAATTATGTGAAGATAAAAAAATGGATTTGTTATCAAAGTATTAAGCTAGTGAAGCCTTAAAAGAAATTAGAAATTAATAAAAACTTAAATAAAGAATTAGATAAGCAATAATTAAATTTTAAATAAGTTGGCTAGATATATTTTTACTTTTACATTTAGCTGAAAATCTAAAATCTATGTTAGATGTATATTTAATTTGATATTCTTTATTAGGAAGCAAAAAAAAGAAGTAAATATTTAGCTAAGGGAAGACTTATAGTATGGAAATATAAAACTACAACAATGATTAAAATAAAAGAGAGTGGTTAAACTGTTGATTAAAGGAACTTATTTAAATTATGTATGTCAATGTGTATGTTTGCATTTCATAACAAAAAGAGATTAAAGACTGAAGTATCTAAAGTATTAAGATACTTTTTGACTGTAACTCATTAATATTGTCATTTTATTTAGCGACATCAGGAACTAACAAACAAAGGTAAAGAATCATTAAATTTTAGTAAATTATGTTAAAAGAGTATTTAGAAATTTAAAGTAAAAAGAAAAAGCCTATAAAGATAGATTATGGAGAATTCTAAATAAATACGCTTAGGAAATACTTCATACTTTGGGAGCTCACTTTACTAATCCAAAAAAGCGAACATATATTATTGATAGGTAATTAATTGACTTATCAAGAGCTCAGCACTTATAAAAGCAATGGAAGATTTTTTATCATAAAAAAAACTAAAATGTCAACAATTTATATAAAGTTATGTAAGAGAAAAAGATTAAAAATAAGTAAATTTATTATTTAAAATAAAATTAGAGAGTTGTAGACCTTGCTTTGAATATGATGCAACCAGAAATGTTTGACACTCCTTCATATGATGATTTATACGGAATTTTTCGTACATATATTCATTACAAAAAAATGACATCTCAAACCTAATAATAATAATAGATAAAATCTTAATAATAATAATAGCAATGATAATGATGACATATACATTTAGTATATAAATTTTAAGATTCTATTATAATTTAAATTATTTTATAAATTATCTTTAATAATATCATGGTGTCTTTAAATAATAACATAATTAGAATTTTATTATAGTTTGAATTAGAAAAGTGATATCCCTTTATAAAATATGATAGGAGAGCAAATTCAAAAGGGTATAATTATAAAAATATTGATTTCTTTTTTATTCTTTTTTATAATATTTTGAAAAGTAAACACAATGCTTTTATGGTAACTGATTATTATTATTTTCTTTTAGATTTTTATGTTAGTATAAGAGTTTTATATTTATATTAGATTTATCTTATTAATGCTAAACTGAAGAATTTTTACATGTAGCTTCAATATCTATATGATTCTAATTTATGTTAGTTCTACTAATTTTTATTTTAAAAGAAATAAAAAAAGATATAACAAATAAATTATCTTTTCATTAATTTATTTATTATTTATCAATAGAAAAATTAAATATCTTAAATTTAATATTAAAAAAATTAAATAATTTTATGAGATAAATTAAAGATTACAAATGATTTTCCTCACTATAAGATTTTTTTTATTTTTGGAATTAGTTTGAATCTTATAATTTAATTTAGTTATGCAGAGGAAATTAAATCTGTAGACATAATAATTTTTTATATTGAATGCTTGGTTTAATAAGCTTTTCTTATTAATATGTTAAATGAAACTTTTATTTATCTTCTTTCTAAATTTTAGGCTAAAAACTATACTGTGGTGGAAGCAGCACTTCAGGCTCTTTTGGGTCTGATTATAAAGGTGTAGGGGATTGTTCAGAAAGTTGTTGGATCCCTATTAAGTGTTATTATCTCTTGGTTTTTTGGACTGATTGCTCTAAAATTTTTTTATCAATCTGGTTATTCAAGATGTGATTGTTTAAAGGTGAAGGACAAAAAATACAGTTTGCTTAAGAATTTTATATAAAAAGAGAACACTTCAACTAGAGACTAATTAACATATGGAAAATGAGTAATTATCAAAAGGCAAGGAACAAAATAAGATTAGCAGAGAAAAGATTTGAAATAAATTATAGTGAAGATTAGAAGAAATATTATTTTGATATAAATTTAAAAGCTCTTGATTAACTTGCCTTTGTCACTTATAATTAATTATGAATCCTTTTTAATTTGATTTACAATAAACAATAAATACAGTAATTATTAATGGAAGATCTTTATGATTAAAACTTATGATGATAAGATACAGTCATAATAATTTGATCAATATGGAATTTTTATTAATGAAGAAAATACCAATTAGCTACCAGAAGGATTTAAAGGGAATGTTATTTGCATGAAGCTAATAAATCACACGGAGAGTGGAAATAGTAATGTCCTAAAGATACAAAACTATGGATGAAATTTTGATGGTATACAAGAATCTATAAAATTATTTGAGTAAATTATCTCTGTAATAACTTTTAATTGTATGAATTATAATCGAAAAATAATTAGATCTGATTAGCTATAATATCATTTAAGATCCATATCAACAAATAAAAAATAAATTAATATGCTTTTATATCAATTGAGGTATTTTATGACTAAAAGATTCGATTTTATTAAAAATTTAGCTTACATGAATAGTTAATCAAAAAAAATAAGTGAATAAAATAAAAATTTAATATAATAATATGAAAATCAATTATAAATAAGATCTAAATAAAAAATTGAATTATAATAGTCATGTTATAATTGATAATTACTTTACTAAATTAGAATAAAATTATATAATGAAACTGAAAATTAAATCAGTAATTTATGTTAAATTGAAGTATATTTATTTTTGGTATAGTTAATTGAACCAAGCTATAATGAAAATTTTTGTGTTAAAAAACAGTATAATTTATGTAAATAATTACAAAATTAATTATTTTGCACTAGGTTTAACCAATAAATATAAATTAATATAAAAGATGGGCTAGAGTTGTGCATCTTGTTAGCATAAAGATGAAGTTACTCCTGGCTATAATAATATTGAGCAAAAAGATTAATTTGCAGAAGAAGACCTAGAAGACAGTTAAGAGTTTGATGCTAGTATTATATTATTATAGTCAAGAAAGTCCCCCTTCTACGTATTAATGCAAAACTATGGAAGCAGATATTCTACAGTTTTAAAAGTTAATCTCAAAAGAAAAGGTAGAGGAATATATTGAAGAAAAGAAGGAACAATAAATGATTTTCGAAGACTAATCACGATATTTGGGAAGTATAGTAAATGGAAAAGCAAATGGTTATGGAAAGTTATGGTTAGAAAATGGAGACTACTATTAAGGTGATTTTGTTGAGAATATGATGGAAGGAAATGGAACTTTTAATTACTTGAAGGGTCCAATTTATGAAGGATAGTTTAAGTCAAATAAACCAGACGGTTATGGGATAGAAACTTGGCCAGATGGTTCAATATATGAAGGTGAATTTAAAGGAGGTAGAAAACATGGAAAAGGTTGTTATAAGTGGCATTAAGGCTGTGTTTATAATGGGGAATGGAAGGATAATATGATACATGGTGTAGGAAAATATGAATGGCCTGATGGAAGGGTATGGTATAGTAAATATTGCAGTCTTATTCTGGAAGTTGGGTTAAAAATTAAATGCACGGCCGAGGGAAATATATATGGAAAGATGGAAAGTGTTATGATGGAGAGTATTAACATGATAAAAAATGTGGTTTTGGTATATTCTATTGGCCAGATGGAAAATAATTCTAAGGTTAATGGTTGAATGGAAAGTAGCATGGAAAAGGATTAATGATAGGGAAAGATGGAAAGAAAAAGATAGGATCTTGGTTGGAAGGAAAATTAATGAGTTCGATTGAGGATGACAATTTCTAAATAATGCCAGAAGGTTGGATTTAATAATAATAATGATCTTATTTGTATCATTCTTTAAACTTCAACTTAATTTATGATAGGATATTCTTCGTCAGCAAAACAATATCAAGATAAAACAGAACTATATTTAGTAAAAAGTGAATAAGTTTGATTATGTATAATTAACCTCCAAATTATTAAAAATGAAAAATAAAAGACAAGCAGAACATATATCTGATGATTCTGGACTAACTTTCTTCGAAGCATTCTAGAAAGCTATTTCCAAATTCGAAGTTGACAACTAAAAATCATATCCCAAGCAAGATAGTGATCGATTCACTCTATATGAAGATTTGAAGTTAATCCTAGAACTATCTAAGGTCAATTAGATTGAACCTTAACATTTTGATAGAATAGCAGCTTTGCTTAAAAGATCAAAAGCAACCTTAAGAAGAAGGTAATTAATTAATTAAACATAGATATCAAGAGTACTTGAAAAATATTAATCAAGATGACTTGTAAATTATATTTTCATATCTCTAACACTATGGTGCTTATGGATATTTAGTTTTTGCTATTGAAGATGGATAATAGAAACTATAAGATATAGAGCCAATAAAATAATATGAAACTCCAAATAAGACCCCAATTCAAACCCCAATTAAATAAATAACCAAATAAGCCACTCAAATCCCTGTAGTAAATGCATAATAAAATTCATAACAATAATAGCCATAATAATAATAACCATAACCATAACAATAATTGATTGAACCAGAATCATAAAAGAAAGTAAAACCTAATAATAAATTTTAATTGTCTGCGAAGTAAATTTAATATTTATAATTTAGTTCAAAATATGATGTTTCTAACAAAAAGATAAATGCCTTTAAGTAAGAAGCAGTTGTATTAGATGTAGAATAGAAACATGAATGTGAAGAACTTAAATTTACATTGAAAACCTTATCTGAAACCTTAAAAATTTCATATTAGGAATTATGTTAAAGAATGTATTAATGTTCAGGAGATTTAAATACACTTTTGGATGTATATCTAAATCATTAAGAAAATTTATTATGGACAAAGGAAGCTGATGAAGCATTGAAAGCTTATTTAGTAGAAGAAAACTAATTTGAAAAACAAAAATTAAGGGCAATACTACATGGAGAAGAATAAATATAGAAAAGAAAGGAATGGTTATATGGAAAATGAAGGGATGTAATTTAAAGAATTTATGATATTTAACAATTAAATTTTAAATAACTTAATATAAAACTCATTTATGTGCTGTAGCATCCATTTTAAGAATATCAGATGGCAACATTATATGATTTCTAGATTCAGCTAGAATGGCAGATATTTCTCTTGCATATTCTATTCTTCTTACATCCAAGAAGGCTAAAAGAACATTAAAATAAAAAATACCTGGATTAGTTAAGGCAGATTTTCCTACTAATTCAATAGATTTAGCTTCTCCTAAAGCCTTGATTACAATACTCTTCTTGGCTTCTCTTGCTTATTCAACAACAAATTTAGCTCTTTCAGCCTCTTATTAAGCAACTTATTTAGCTTCAACTGCATCCAAATATTCTTTTCCAAAAGTGAGTTCTGTAATTGATACATCATCTATTGCAATTTTGAATTAAGCTGCTCTTTAATCTAGGGCTTGTCTGATTTTGAATGAAACCTAATCTCTTTAACTCATTAATTAGGAGGCTGTATATTAGGCCACAACAGATCTCATAGTTTCATTAACAATGGATGGTAACACTTTTTCATCATAATCAATTCCTAAAGTTCTATAAATGGTTGGAAGATCATCACTATAAGGTCTATGGAGTACTCTAAGAGTCAATAGAACATTTTGCATATCTTTTAGAATATTTTAAAAGGAGATACCTCTATTGGCTGTATTAGCCTTAATTTGTCTTGGTCTTGTTTATATATTATAATCGATTGGTGTCTCAAAGTATGGAATTCTGAAATGCCATCCTTCCTTGTACTTTTCTTCTTAGAGACCAAAAAACTTGCTGAATTTGATAGCACAATGTCCAGGTTCAACAGTGAAGAAGCAATTTTTAACCAAGAAGATACCGAAAATACCTGCTGTTCCAAGACTCATTAGCATTTTTAATGATTCTACTTAGGCAGCCATCAATCTAAGATTTTTATTTGTGTTGGAAATTTAATTAATTAAAATGGGAGTACCTGCATTTTTTAGATGGCTATGTGCCAGAAATCCTAAGGCTCTGTTAGAAGTCTTGGAAAATTCAGATGAATCCATATTATCAAATAATCCAGATATTGATAATCTATATCTAGATATGAATGGTATCATTCATCCATGTTCTCATCCTGAGTAAGGAGGCATTCCTATTCCAGTCACATATGATGACATGTTTGTGAACGTATTTCACTACATAGATCGTTTAGTTGATATTGTACGTCCAAAGGAATTGATATATATGGCCATTGACGGTGTTGCACCAAGAGCAAAATTAAATTAACAAAGAAGTTTAATAACACAATAAATCTATAGGTCGTAGATTTAGAGCAGCATAAGAATCCATAAGAATTCAAAAGGAGAAGGAACGTTTACGAGATTATTGGAAAACATAAGGTTTAAATTCTGATGCTTTAAATACATATATTGAGAAAAACTTTGATAGTAACTAAATTACTCCAGGAACTGAGTTTATGCAAAAATTAAATATTGCATTACAGTATTATATTTATGATAGAATGAATAATGTAATATTATATTTCATCTAATATTAGAATCCTTTATTTAGAAATATATTGATTATTTTTAATGATTCAAGTATTCCAGGAGAAGGAGAACATAAAATTCTTTAATTTGTAAGAGATTAAAGAAAATAAATGAATTATAAAACAGTTAGACATTGTTTATATGGAGCAGATGCTGATTTAATAATGTTGGGTTTGAGTACACATGAACCATATTTTTATGTAATAAGAGAAACAATAATGGCTAATGATGATAAACAATGTTCAATTTGTTAATAAAAAGGTCATTTTTTTACTGATTGTAAAAAGAGAGAAAAGGTAATTGATGATTTGAATGGAGAAATTAAATAATATAATTAAATTCAATAACAGCAAAAGAATAAAGTAATTTAAGTAGATTTTTAAATATTATAATTAAATATTGTAAGGGAATTTTTATATTTTGAAACTAGAGATTTACAAACATCATTAAAAGGTTAATATGATTTAGAAAGAATTATTGATGATTTTGTTTTTATGTGTTTTTTAGTAGGAAATGATTTTCTACCACATATACCTTGTTTAAAAATAACTGAAGGGGGTATTGATTGTTTACTTATAATATATAAAACAATTCTATCATAAATAGGAGATTATTTAACAAATTGTGGTGAATTGAATTTATAATAGATGAATTAATTTTTATTTCATGTTGGATTAATTGAAGATGAATTAATTAAAGGTTAAGAAAAAAAGAAAGAAATAGTTAAAAATAGAAGAGAGAGAAATGCTGAAATGAAAGAATAAAAAGTTGTGATGCCACCTGAATTTAGTATTGTAGATACATCTAAAGAAGTTTTATTAAAATTTAAATCTGCATTAAAAGAGAAATTAACAGAAATAAATTAATAAGAAATTGATTAAGCATAATCAGCAAAATCTTCATAAGAATTAAAAAAATGGAAAGCTGTTAGTTATAAATAAAGATATTACTAAGAAAAATTTGGAATAAAACCTTCTTAATTTATTGAATTCTAACATCGAATAAAAATATCTTATTTAGAAGCATTAGCATGGACATTAAAATATTATTATTAAGGATGTGTAGATTGGGGATGGTTCTATCCTTATCATTATGCACCATTTGCATAAGATCTGATTAATTTAGATTAATGTATTTTTGAATTCTAAATTAATACTCCTTTTAAACCATATTAACAATTATTAGCAGTATTACCACCTTAATCAGCATAATTTTTACCTAGACCCTATTAATAATTGATGTTAGAAACATCATCTCCTATAGCTGATTTCTATCCTACAGATTTTGTAGTTGATTTAAAAGGAAAGAAGTTTGCATGGCTTGGAGAAGTAGTATTACCATTTGTAGATGCTGATAGATTAATAAAGGCAAGTAATATAGGTATAACTTTATCAAAATTGGAATAAGAGAGAGATAGATTAGGATAAACATTAATTTTTAGTGCTAAAAAACATGAAATCTTTAATTTTTAAGTGTGTCATATTTAAGTATAAGTTGAATGGTTACCACGTTTTCCTATTGGAAGTGAAATTAAATCACCTATACCAACTATGGGAAACATTCTTAATAATTAAATTATTAGTGGGGCTTTGTTGAAAACAGTAATGGAAAGTGATCCATCATTTATTTAGAATTAAATTAGGAAAGGAACTATTATGCCACCTGAATTTTTGGATGAATATTATATGAATTAATGTGAATAGAATAAGAGATCATTTGGAGGAGAAGCAGTTAGAAGAATAATATATTCAATATTGGGAGTCAAATAAGTGAGGAGATTAGATAGATCATAAGAAGATTTTGATTAAATAAAAAAATAAACAAAGTTATGATATTATCATTATTTCTGGGCAATAGAGCAATCAATTTAGGAATCACTTCCTAATATCTAGATGTATATATATTATTTTGATTGTGTTAGTTATAAAATAAATTCTAAGAAGAAGACCCTATTTTACATCAATATGATCATAACAATAGACCTCATGCATTATACTTTGGAAATGATTTAGATCTAAGTAAATCATTAAATAGAATCAATATGAATTCATTAAAATAAGAAAAATAAGAAGTGCCTATTATAAATGAATAAGAAGAAGATGAACCATAGATTATAAAATTAACTTAAAAATATTTACATGAATTGAAAATAGATTCAAAATAGATTTACAATTATAAAAAGAATTTTGAAAATGAAAATGATCTTTTCATGACTAATTTGGATTCAGCATAAGTGGAATAATTTTAAGATAATATATAAACTCAATTAGAAAAAGCAGATTAATGTGATGGTTTTGAATTAGTAATAGATTGTGAAACATGTTATGGAGAAATTGGATTAAAAGTAGTTGATTCTTTAAATGATCTACAAGGAAATAGTAAAACACCTAAAATAGTAATTTCTATTCTTGATCCAAATATGAATACAAAAAATAGAATTATAAATAGGTATATAATTTAAATTTACTTAATTTAGATCATTAACTTTAACACAATATTAAGAAAATTCTACATTATTGGTTCCTTTAGAATTGAAAGAAATGTAAATTCATTCAAAACAATTAGAACTTAATTAATAGTATTCTTTTCTTATCAATAATATACTTTCATCATATAAATGTACTTAAGAGTATGTGAGTATGCATGAATTCTGTAAAAGAATTACACCTGCTCCTTAAAATAATATATTTAATATTTTAGCTTCAATTCCATCACTTTAAGATAAACCAGAGAATAATATATTGAATTATAAATAAGCTAAGAATTTGGATAAGTTTTATTTTTCATAAGAAATTATAAATATGAATTCAGAAAGAGAATCATATGGAGAATCATATTTCTTAAGAGGTATTTCACCATTTCCAAATGAAAGAAATTTAAAGTCATATGGTGTAGATATTAGAATATTGGATTATATTTATTAAGTTCCTTAATTATATGATTATACTGATGTAATGCCATTTCATAGTAGCATTTTTAGTAATGAGAGTTATAAATATACTTTACTAAAATTATACAAAGAATTAAATAGTATTAAGAAAATGGGATTTTTGTAATATGAAAAATAATCTTTTGAAGATGATTAATAATTAAAATATGATTTATGTTAATTGATAGAAAATTATGGTGGTATTGATGAAGAAGAATAATTATGATTGTTATTTATTTATTAATATATATTTGATCATAATCAAATAAGATCTTGAAATCCAAATCTCTTTCTAAAGTTTATTACTTCTTCACTTGATAATGTACTATCATTTCTGTATTAGATTTCATCAAAATCTATTGTAAATTCAAAACTTTTATTTACTTCTTCTTCTATATTTTCTTCTTCTATTGTTAAGAAAATGTGTACCCAATCTTGGATAACCTAAAAGATTCATTAAATTAAATTACTTGCTAACATTAGTATGGGTACAGTAAAAATAGTGACATCAATGCCTAATCTAACATACCATGGGATTGGTCTCATTTAATAATATTTAATAAATTAATGTAAAATAATAATTGTTTGTTTTGTGAGAAATAAAGATTAGAAGGAGCCATCCATTATCCATCTTTATTATAAACAGTATTAATCTAATCTATAAAGGCATTATATTTAAAGTACAATCCTCAAGATGAAATGAATATAGATGATCTCATTAAACATTCCCATAAGAAATGGGTTATAGATTTCTATGAGAAATCATAAGAAATATAAGACTAAGAATTTCTCAAGAAATACTATGATTGTCATGAGATCATCTCAAAATTAATTGATTTAACAGAATATTACAAATATAGATTGGACACACCTAATCTATTTATGCTTCCATTATTTAAATTGATAAAAAATTACAATAAATTACGAAAGTATCATTTTCAATATTTAGAGATTATCATTACACTTAAATCAAATATAAATTAAAAATATTGTTACCTTAAAATCGTAATAATATTGATGTTCAATTTACATAATTATTGTAATTAACAATGAGTAAATAAGAAGAAGAATAATAATCTTTGATTTCTCTTTTAAATAAATTCTAACCATAATAAAATAAAATGCCTAAATAAATTAAATCATATACTCAATAATCAAGTTTATCAACATCTAAATTAATTTCGAAACCCTTGATTAAATAAAGTGAATAATTAAGTAGAAAACTTAAATCTATATTAAATGGAGATATTCGTTAATAAATACCATAATCATTGCCATAACAATAATAAATAAAGAAGACATAATCAAAATCTCATTCTACTATTAAATTTCATACTCTCCACAGTATAAATAATAATTCAAAAAAATTGAGTATGTAATCAAGTTAATCAAATTTGTAATCAATTAAAACTTTGGGATAAAGCAAAATTGGATCATAGGCAGATATAATTAGTAGTATTTATTTATAGAAAAACAATCCTATTGTTAAAAATAGATAACAAAGAAAATTAATTTAATTATTTTATAAATGATTATATTATTAAAATTTCAATTTAATTCATATCATATCTTAAAGGAATTTCAATCAATCAAATTCATTATTTTATCATCTAATAGAATTAAAGTAAACTCAATGATTCAAAATATTCAATTTTTATAATGATTATTCGATATATTTATTCTTATATCTACTAATTAGAGCAAAAATTATAAAAAAATTAATACTAAATTATTTTTAGATGTACTTAATATTTTAATATGAAAATACATAACTAATTTAATGTGATTTTAATACTATATTATAATTACTAGAACTATCTTTGAATAAAGTTACAATAAAACTAATAAAAATTATAAGTCATAGTTAGTTGTAGAATATAATTTATGATACTTATACTTTAATAATATAGATTGAAAGGAATATTAATGATTTATCTTTACTTTTTGATCAGAATTATTAACATACTTATATTTAATTACTTATCATTACATGATCTATGTTTTTATAAGAATATTAGAATTTATTAAATTTTATTATTAAAAAGTTAAAAATAGAAAAAATATGAATTAAATTATTATTATCTTTGAGATTTACAGAGAACAAAGTTACAGTTTTACAATAATGTTCATGTACAAGAGAAAATTATTTATTAATTTCCTTAAAGATTTATTACTGAAAAAATAATGTATATTGATATTTAATATATAAAATTAAAGTTATGGGTTGTTTATAACCTAAGAAGCTAAATAGGATAGTTGCTATGTAAACTACTAATAAAGATCTCGTATTCACTTCTACTGCAGATATTCATAAACTTTATTCGTTTGGTAAAGTATTAGGGATTGGTGCTTTTGGAAAAGTATTAACTGCGAAGATGAGAAATAATAATTCGAAACATTATGCAATTAAAATGATAGATAAGAGAAAAGTAAGAGGGAGAGAAGCAATGTTGGCAAATGAGATATATGTCTTATAGAAGTTAGATCATCCTAATATAATTAAATTTTATGAGGTATATCAAAATGAACTATACTTTTACATAATTATGGACTATTGTGAAGGAGGGGAATTGGTGGAACGAATATAAAAAAGTCAAAAAAATCTTAGTGAAGGTCAAGTGCAGAACATTATATTTAAAGTAAATATTATATGTTAACTGAGATCTGTTCAGCAATTATGTATATCCATGAATAGGGTATTATACATAGAGATATAAAGCCTGAAAATATTTTATTTTCAACAAAAGATCCAAATGCTGAACCAAAATTAATTGATTTTGGATTGGCTATAAAATTTGATTCAAGCAATCTTAAGTATTTATAAATTATACATATATTAGATAATTAAAAGCTGCTGTAGGTACTCCTTTATATTTGGCACCAGAAGTTATTGAAGGTAAATATAATGAGAAGTGCGATGTTTGGAGTTTAGGCATTTTGCTCTTTCATTTATTATGCGGTTATCCACCATTTTATGGAAAAAATAGAACAGATCTTTATGAAAATATTTAATATTAAAATGTAATATTCTAATTATCTATTTGTAGTTGATATTTGATAGAAGACATTGGAATAATGTTAGTGATGAAGCTAAAGATTTAATTAAAAAGATGTTGAATAAAAATCCAAATATTAGACCTAGTGCAAAAGATTGTCTACGTCATTCTTGGTTCAGAAGAAAATTTTAAAATCCTGTTAAATTGTAAAGAGGAAGGAGTACTATAATTTCAATGAAATCACCTTAATCTGAAGATTAAAGATCAATATATTAAATGTTAAAAACGTTTAGAATAGGTGCTAAATTTAAGAAAGAAGTTATGAAAGTGTTAGTCAATTAAATGAATGAAAAAGAATTGGGGAGATTAAAATAAGTATTTTAGAAAATAGATGTTGATAATTCAGGAACTATTACTGTATAAGAATTGAAAGAAGCATTAATGGAAGAAGTATAAATAATTAATAAAAATAGGGATCACATATAAGTCATGAAGAAATAGAATAATTAATATAACTTGTAGGATTTGAGATTTTGGAAGAGGATAAAGATGATAATGATTGTGCATCTACAACTAAATCAACAAAACCACTTGTTATTAAATATAGTGATTTTCTAGCTGCATGTATAGATGAAAGAAGAGTATTAACTAGAGAAAAAGTATTATATAATATTATTATTAATTAGTTATGGTCTGTATTCAAATATTTTGATACTTAAGATGCTAATTTTATAATGAAAGAAGACATTAAAGAAGCATTAGCAAGACATGGTAGATAATTATCAGATGAAAAAATAGATGAAATGATTTATGAAATTGATCCTAATCATGATAACAAAATTAGTTTTGAAGAGTTCTGTTAAATGATGGGTGTTGCTGGAGTTGAATAAACTATGGATTTTAAGGATGAAATAAAAGAACATTAAATTTTTCAACAATCTCAAGAATGATTCTTTATTGTTTATTTTCACATTATTTAAATTATAATTAATTTGTAGATTGTTTTTATATATTTTCAATACAGAAGACTTATATAATAAAGTAAAAAAAGTCTATGTACAAATTATCTATCACTTAACAGATTATTATCATAATACTAAATATAACATTAATAGTTATAGTATATAATTATAAATACTATAGTGAAAAATATATATGTCATATTATTATGAATTATGAATTATGACTTTTTAATATTTTTTCATCTTACCTAAATTAATTTATAATATGGTGTTTATTATTCTGATGCTACTATTGGGGTGGACTCAATCTTAAGGATGTTAGCCTTATGGAATTAGATTATTTTTAGGACATTATTTTAGTTATTTGAGAAATAGTTAAGATGTTATTCGAATAGTTTTCAATACTGAAGTATTTTAGATGCTTTGATAATTTCTAGTAAGAATGCAGAGGTTAGTTCGTTCTTGAGTTGATGGATGGTAAAACAGATAAATAATTGATGACATCCTAAATCACATATTATGATACTCAATTATTAAACATGACATAAATATATGAAAAGAATTAAACCACTCATTATAATTATGAGACATTCATTCATACATTTAAGATTGGTTTAAATAATTTAGATGTAAATGTATCAACATCTTATAATTACACAATTGTTTCTAGATAAAATTCAATATTATCTGGTCCATATAAATTTGATATTCCTTTGGCATAAAATGAATAAAAAATGTTAGTGTTTGGAGATATGGATTCAAATTGGGTCTACAATTATTCTAAGGATACATTTAATTGGTTAGAGAATTAAGTTAAGTCTGATAAACGATATGATACAATTATATTCACAGGAGATATGGCATATGATTTAGAATCACATAATTGTAAATAGGGAGATAATTGGCTAAGAAATATTTCAGTATTTACAAATAGATATCCATTTATGGCAACACCTGGAAATCATGATAATGGAAATAATACTTTTTATGATTTTTTTAGAGCTAATTTTGGTGCTCTATTTTTAAAGGAATATAATACTTAACATTATCTTAATGATTTTTTTAGTTTTGATGTTGGAATGGTACATTTTATATCATTTAATCCAATCAAAGCAGTTTATCATAATGATGTTAATAATATTACTCATTTAATAGTAGAATAAATGAGAAATGATTTAATTCAAGCAAATTATAATCGAGAAAAAGTACCTTGGATTATAGTTTACACTCATTATCCAATATATTGTTCAGCTCCTAATAGTGATCAATGTTTAAATAATTTTAACTATTTATCAGCATTTGAGGATCTATTTGTATAATATAATGTAGATTTATATTTAAGTGGACATGTACATACTTATTAAAGAAATAAACCATATTATAAAAATAATATTGCTTAATACTCATAAAAAGATAATATCATTTCTAAATATTAATATCCTGTATCTATAATTGAAGGTATTGCAGGTACAGATTATGGAGAATAAAATGAAACATTTCCAGAAAAACCATTTATAGAGATTTAAAATCCAAATCATGGAGTTGGAATCATTACAATTAAAAACTCTACACATTTATATTATGAACATATCACTGTTGCAGATAATAAAGTTATAGATTCTATATGGATAAATCGTTCTATAGATATAAATAACAAATCTAAACATGATGGTTTTGAGATTGTTATGTGGGTAATCTTTTCTATTTTAATGGTGATAACTGGTGTTTCTATATATTTTAAATCAAATCAAGGGAAGAAAAACAAAAATAAACTATTGGATGATACAATAAAAATGGTTGTCAGTTGATTGTTTATCTAATGATTATTTTATTAAATATTCTTATATAATTTTAAGAAATTGAAGGAAGAATTTGTAATCCTTATGGATTCAGATAGTCTTTAGGACATTATTATTCAATTTTAAATTACTAATAAGATGTCATAAGAATAACATTCAATTCCGAGGTAGGACATATTACTAGAAAAAATAGGGTCTTTGTAAATCTGCATTCGTTGTTCTTTTGGAGAATTATACATTTTACGAATATGAAACTAATCTTATTTAAACAAATGGGATGACATTTTGCAATTCTTATCATTCATTCTCTCACACATTCTAAATAGGGACCAAATATTTACAATAAAATTATTAAAGCAATTATTATATCCAGGAGGGCAAATCTATATATGGTCCATTTATAATATATTTTGCAGGACCATAAAAGCCAAGTAAATTTATTTTGTTGGGTAATTTGGATTCATAGTGGAAATTAAATAACTCTTAACATACATTTAACTTCTTAGAAAATTCTTCGAAAATTTATTAATAATTTGATGGAATTATATATTTAGGGAGTATGGGATTTAATTTAGAGGATAATAATTGTTTACAGGGTGATTATTTTCTAAAGAATATTTCAATATTTACTTCAAATTATCCTTTTATGATATCTCCAGGAAATTATGATGCAGGACAATCAAAAAAATTTGTTTTTATTAAGTAATAGTTTAAAATGCCTATAATTTCAGATTACAAATTTGATTTACTTGAATATTATAGTTTTGATGTTGGATATGCTCATTTCATTTAATTTAATCCTTTCTAATAAATAGTTTTAGATATTTAAGGATAGAAAATATTAGATCTACTTGAAGAAGATTTAAAAAGAAATAAATAACCTTGGATAATAGTATATACACATTATCCCTTATAATGTATTGGAATTTCTTAATGTTAATTATTTACTAATAAATTATAAGAATTTATTAATATTTTCAACAAGTATCAAGTAGATCTAGTATTTTCTTCTTATGTTAATATTTATTAAAGATATATGAAGAATAATGTCAATTCATTTATTTAAGTGATTGAAGGTATAAGTGGGAATGATATGAATTGGGAAGATATTTATATGAATTCATTAGAAATAGCATATTAATCAAGAGAGGTTGGATTTGGAGAATTGAATATTTATAATGAGACTCATTTATTTTATTAGCATAAATTATCTAAGAATAATTAAAGTATAGATGAATTTTGGATTATTAAGTAGAATAAAGAAGAAATTTCACATTTTTTTATAGTTACAATTATTTTAATAATGATTACTTTTATTTCATAATTATTTGTAATTTATAGATGTGTAAGAAGAGAACAATTATATAATAAATTTAATTTAGTAAATAGTTGAATTTATGATTATTTATAAATGATATTTAATTTAATAATGTTAATATATTTTAATAATAGTTTAAAAGATTTTCATAATATGACATAAAATATGAAAAATCAAATTTCTCTTCCTTATTAAATAACTTCAATTAATGTTAATAAATTATTCTTTTTAACAGCATTTCTACACATATTGGTAATGGCAATTTTAGCATTTCCAACTCTTAATTAACTTGCTTTACTGATCATAGCATTAACTTCTTTTAAGTTATTCATTAAAATATCATTATTTTATTTCTTTTTATAAAGTTCACTTTATATAGCTTTATTTTGAACCATTACATTTGCATACATTTTTTACATAGTTTTAATATCTCCAATCATTCTAGAATCTTCAGCTTTAACAATATAAGATTTAACAAGATTCATAGCTTCAGCAACATCACCTGAAATTTATAATTTTGAAGATTTATGTTATTGTACTGCTTCTAGTACTTTTTTAAACTCTTACATTTCTACAGGAAATTATCCAACTGTCATTAAATCTTAAATTTAAATGAAATCACAAAGATCTTAAATAATATCACCACAAGTAGCAATGGAATCACAACGAATAATTACTTTTCCTTCCTTAGAATCAAACTATTATATTGATTATCTAAATTTACATGAATCTATAATTTTTATTGATTAACAATATTAATAGTATTGAATACAAATTCATTTGTAGATTCAAATTTTTTTTTTATATCTTCATTAATATTGAAACACTAATCTATCCATTTAACATATCTAGGAACTCTTTCATTAATTTTAGCTTCAATAAATGATTATATTTTAAGATCTTAATCAACATATTAAAAGTTAGCAAATTTAGGAAAAGTAGGTGATGTTTCCAATATTAAAAAGTAATTTCCATGAGGATTTGATGAAACAAAAACTTTACAATTTAACATCACTTTTTAATTATCAACCAATTATTTAAGAGGTGCAAATAATTTATCTGAAGGTTAAGGATTATTAACTATGTATCCTTCTTTATAATATGTGTCATGAAATATAATGGCTTAAGTTATATAATAACCAGGTTCTGATAAAATGAAAACTAAATTTAAACATTAATTAGCTATATTTTTTTAGAATCCACATCTTATATCTAATCCAGTAGGCATTTTATCTAATTACATTTATTAAAGTAATTCTTATTTTTTTTAGGTTAATTCATTTAGAATACTACTTTAAGATAAATTCAAATTATCTGTATCTTTATCAACAATAGTATATCCTTTTACATTACCAGATTTAGATATTGCTATAATTTGATTAACTCCAACTCCTCTTAGATCAGAATAAAGTAATCCACTTAATTATTCATCTGAATTTACCTTTTATATTAATTAACCATTTTTTAATGATCTTAATTCTATTTATCCATTTCTTCTACCAACAATAAGATGATTTTCATCATTACAAATAAGTTTAAATATCTTTTCTTAATCTTCATTATTGTGCCATAATTCCAATTGTTATCTATGTAATTTTATAGATCCATTTTCCATTCCAGTTATAAGATAAGTTTAATCAAAATATATAATTCCAGCAAAAGATAATGGTAAAGATTAAGTATTAAATTAAAATACAATCTCTTCTCCTTTTAAAAGTCTAACACAATTATCTGCAGTACCAACAGCAATATAATATTCATTATCAAAACCAAAAACACATAAAGAAACAACTTCATCACTTGCTACATTCCAATATATTTCTTCTCCTTAAACATTAAATCCTTATATACTGCAATTACCACCTACAAAAATTAATTCTTAAATTTATTTGCCATTATAATATTATCCAATTGCCAATGTATTTATACCATCATTCACTTCTACAAAACATTAATCAAAATTATTTTCAACATCATGAACAGTTAAAGTATTTTCACTTGCCATAACAAGACATTAGTTAATCACATCTAATGATTTGAATTCTCTTTTCATATTTAAGAAATTAGATGTATTATTCTAAAATAGTAAAATACTTCCTATTGAAGTAAATCCAATCAAAGAAGTAGTATCTCCAATAAGCTTACCTGCTGTAGCCATTATAATATCATATTTAAGTGAAAAGTTGTAAGATTACACAATCATTTAATCTTAAAATATTTATTGATATTTAATTATATAACTATAAATATATTCACCATTCACTTCTATAAATCATATATCATTATTATTATATTCAATTATATCATTATATCAAAAACTAATAAACTTATATTTATTGATAAATATTATTTATACTCCTTCTTTTATATTAAATTTTTATGGAAATCAGTAATCGCAAAGACATAGAAAAATTGATAGCTTATAGCAAAAGTATACAAGTTGGTCTCATCGAAGATGTATTTATCTGAGCTATCCCAGGATTTCAATGATCAATATACTCCTCCTGAGAAATATGTCTATGATTTAGAACCTATTCCTAATATTAAATTAGAAGAATTTGATACTAATCTAAATGAAGATGAAATGCTTAAATTATTGAAATAGAATGTTCAATCTGCTAAAATGAAAGATAGTATAAGCAGTGAACCAAATAGTCTAGAGAGTCAAGATTCTATTATAAGGAGATCTACTCCTCCTAAACCTAAATAAAAATAAGTTGATCCTCTTATTTAAATCCCTGTTTAAAAAAGCTAAACTACTGTAGATATGACAGAATATAATAAAGTTCCTGAAGAAGTATTATAATTATTGGAAGGAACAAAAGAACGTAAATCAATGTTAGGTGCAGCTATCAAAAATACAAAAGGAACAAGTTTGTTCTTGTAATCTTAAGGAAAACCTATTAAAATTTATTTCTTTAACACTCAACAAAATATTCAAATAAATGTTACTAAAAATACTACAATTCTATAAGTTATCAGAATGAGTATAACTGAATATTAAAATAATAATAATTTTGATTAGAGATTACTTAGATATCCTAATAATGTTGATGCATATGAAATAAGATTTATTGATGATGATTATGAATTTAAAGCAGAAATGTCTTTTGGTGCAATTGATAAAAAAAAAGAAATCTTATCTACTTAAACAAATGTTTTCTCTCTTATTGAAATAAGTAATTATAAATAACAATCCAATGATAATATGTGTATATTTGAAAAAAATAATCCTAATATGATCTTGATTGACGTACTTATTATTGATTAAAACCCTGAAAAGAATATCATAACAAAAATTTAATTAGAAAAACACTCCATTGTAGAAGATATAATTACTCAGATTAGTAAAAAGAATAAATAAGTAAATTGTTCTAAACTTATTTGTAGATCAATATAGTAAATTATATTATACAATTAAATGATGATGAGACTCTTTTAGATCTTGATTTAAGAATGCCTATAGCTTAATTATAGAATAAAAAAATATAAATCAAATAAAAGACTTGGGCAGACTAAGCTGAACCATAATTCAATAATAGTCAAAGACGAGATACTATTACAGAGCAGGATGATTATGTTGATGCTCCATTAAATCATATCCAAGCATTTAAATATGAAAAGTTTACTGTTGTTAAAATAAATGAAAGAGGAAAAAGATAGGATAGAATATTAGGTATTGATCAATTCA